CTTATGCCCGATTCTCGCCGCTTTTTGCCTTTTGCGCAAATATCTCCATGCCAGGCTGGCAGCCATTCAAACATACATATATCATGGAAAACTAAAATCAAAAGAAACAGAAGCAGCAGCAGTTCAAACGAAAACAAGGCGAAAAAAATTAAGAAATTCTCCGGCACACACTTTGGAGTTTATCATTGTAATGCAAATGAAGGAAGTGCGCGAGACTGCCTCCGCTTCTTTCCCCCTCCTCCCCCTTTCACCAGCCCACCTTTGCCATTCTGCAGAATTCGAGGTGAGGCTGTGAAGCAGCAACAACACATCAACAACAACAGCAACAACAACAGAAAACACACAGCGGCAACATTTTGATGCCGTGGGAAATGCGAAAGCGGCACACGATTCGCTGAATGTCACACTGAAAAAACCTAAAAAATTAAAAAAAAATCAAATTAATGAATATTTTATTAGAAAATTATTATTATGAATTTATACGAGAATAATTCATAACCTTTTAGTTTATTAAAAGTGAAATTAAAATTTACCCAACACAATGCAAGAACATCAATACAGGTAATAATTAAATTATTAAAAATATGTAGTCGACAAAATGCAATTGAGTTTAATGGATCGATATAAACGAACAGCAATAATTGTATGATTTACAGATACTAAATTCAGTTTAATTCTACTAATAAATTAGTAAATTGTATATTAATAAATAAACAAGGAACATCAATAAATATGTACATCCTAAGGTGACTTTCATTTAGTATAAAATTTCCACAGAATTTTAAGCTAGAAAATCAATTTTTTCCCAGTGCAATCGCTTTTTCTTCGATGGTGGGGCAAATGTGGTGCAAGGTGGGGCAGGGTGGCTGCTCTTGCCGTTGCCGTTGCCGTTCCTGCAGTCAGTTTGTCAGTGCGTCAGTCAGACACTCTCTCAGCCAGTCAGCGAATGTGATTGCACAAGAATGGCAGCGAAAAAGTTATGAATATGAATAAATAATTTTACGCAGATTGCCACGGCCAAGATAAAATATGCTCGCTCACAAATGCAGGGATATATGATATAGTACGGGTACAAGTGCGTTACCCCCGCAACAACTGCACGATACTTTCTTTGGCAATCAGTGTCAACGTAACACAAGTATTTTTCGAGGGGAAGCACTCTGGGACGTGTAAAACTTGCAAAGTGATTGAAAACAAAAGTTTGCTGATTCAAGGGGGTTTGGAAAACACTTTGCAAGAACCCAGATTTATATTAAAGGGAGTTAAGACACAATTTTGTGTGGTGGTGGCATCTGAAAAGTTGTATCAATAGCAAGGGGAAGCCAGCTTTTTGATAGAATTTAATTTGTTTGCGACATTTATTATTGTTTTCAATAAATAAAATAAAAATTTAGTTTTAATGTAGTCTTAAATCACTGGATGGCGAAACACATTAAAGTATTTATTTGATTATAGATTTCTGACATAAAAAAAGTAATTTAAAGCTTTTGAAAAATGTAAATTATTATTCTGGTGATATTTTATTTGATACTAGCTCTTTAAAAATGTTTAGTAAAGGGGCTTAAATTTGTATTTAAAGGCAATCTAACCTTCTCTTTAGTTGTTTAATATTAATATTCCAGTTCAACAGTTTCCTTACTGGTTTCTCAAGGACCCGAGCAGCGAACTGCGAAATAGTTAAATATTCAGGTTCTCGAAAAACCGCATGCATAAACACCCGACAACAGACAATAGTTTCGCCGAACTCTGCAGCATTGCGGCCCAATTTGGCCTGGTCAGAACGGCGCAAGTACGGCCAGATTGACCGAAGGCCCAGACCGATGTACTCGTATACGTACTCACCTACCAAACGGCAGACAGACAGACAGACAGACAGTCATTGCGACCAAACGACCGTCGGCCGTCGCGTCGGCCAACTTGTTTTGTAGTTGTCTATTTATGCGCTTAGTGCTGTACGAGTATGCAAATAGTTGGCGTACCTATCGCATTGCCCTCGCACTCCGATGCCACACTGAACCAGTTTTTGTTTTCGAGCGGCCCTCGTCCTGCCACTGCCACTCCTCCGCCGCCTCCTGCGAATCCACCCTTGTTTGCATTTTTTATTAACAAACAACAGAAAACGCGGGCGGCAAGAAGGGAATGCAAAATATTTGGTAGAAATGAAAACCCTTTCTGGTTTTTTTTGTTTTTTTTTTAGAGTGGGCGGACGCTTAGCAATCCAGCTAAAATGCCGATAAGCTGGAGAGGGTTGCATGACCACCCCTAAACAAAAAAAAAAAAAAAACAAATAACTAAACCGAACCTTCGGGCGAAGGAGGTGAGTGCTGTTTGCTGTGTTGTTCGTGTTGCTACAGCGATATTTCATGTACGCCACGCATAATCGTTGTTGTTTTAGTGTATTAATTTTGGTTTTTAATAAAGCATAAATATTTGTGTTTGCGCTTTAGATTCGCCCCAAAGCTATGGCCCAGTGATTCGGTCTGTTTTTATTAAAGATTGTCGAATCAAAATTTAGTTTCATACCCCGGGCGAAAATCTATTGACTTTGTACGCAGGATAGGCATTCGGTTTTTTGGTGTGAGTGTAAATAGTAAATAGTTGCAGAGGATGTGCCCCTGGGTTCTCATTACCAGCCCGTTATTTTGGCTTTATCCGTGGGTAACCCTACACTACATATGTCCAGCTTTTATCGGTGCCTGTCAAGCAGCATTAATAGCGAAATTCCTCTATGACAGCCCGCTGAACAACAAGTTAATGGCTGGCGGTTGTGGCCATATCGCAACCCGGTAATACCTTTTATGGCCGGCAAGTGATTTGCCTTACACATGCAGTTTGCATGTTTTAATTATTAAACAAATCAATTTTCTTGGTCTCCGACCCAACAACTTAATGGCCTTTATCCATTTCTTTGGGTTCGCAGCCGTGGCTTATGCAAGTGCACACCCGTGCAATTAAATTTGCATAAATGCATTTTTAATATCGTTCAATTTTTGCAAACGCGTCAACCCGCTTCCACTCACTTGGCAGTCGTTAGACGAGAGCTGGTCAACTCGGGAGTGCCGGCTAATGACATTGGGTGGGTGGCGCTGCGGGAAAACTTTAAATCGATTTCAGTAGTTGCTCGCAACCAATAAGATATTAATGCTGGAAATTAGGGGAGTCGATTGAGCTGATTTCTCCTTAGAGCTCAAGGCGATATGAAGCCATCGAATGACCTTCAATTACTATGATTGTGACATCTTTAAGCTTTGCTATTATGTATAACAATTTTGAACCTAATCAAATAGATAGATACTAACAAAGGGGTCGGTTTTATTTTAAGAGAGATATACTTTTTTTTTTAATCTTATACATAGAAATGCATGGTAACTTACATTAGCATATAAATTAAATAGAAGTAACTGCAGTAATTTTCCCACAATTAAAAAGGGAAATGCTTTTTGCAATACGTCAATCCATTAATGGTTTTTAATGTGTCAGGATTATTACAATCCGTTTTATTATTTTTTCTGAAAAATTCCATTGCACTCTCCTATTTTTTAATTGACAGTTTTCAATTGATTTTGTTGCATGACAAAATAAATGCAAGTTTAATTACCATTGCCTGGTAAGCAGTGCATATCCTTGTCGGTTTTATATTCCCTTTTGGTTAAAGGTCAAGGGTTTTCCCCCGGAGTAGTCAAGGGTTTTCCCGGAATAGTCAACAACCTTTACTGTCCGGTTGGCCCCACCCATTAATGTATCTCTATCTGTATTTGTATCTGTATCTGCGTGTGTGCGCTTTCCATTCCGCCATTAAATTGGCCACTAGCTGGGACTTTCCTTTATTTCGCTGCACTTATTTTGTTCTGCTTGGATACTTATTGATTTTCAATTAGTTTGTTTTGCTTTTCGCAAGCGATGGATTTGGCTTTTTGCAGCTGGGATTTTGGTGATTCTTTTGCGCTTTTTGCGCCAGCGAATTGACATACTTAATTTGCCATCGAGGGCGGAATGTGATAGTGCATTATATGACACAACGCTTTGCACTCATACAGTATGCGATTTCGGATCGATTTTGGCCAAGAGTTTTGGCAAGTGCTCGTGGCTCAGCTTCTTTGGCTTTGGCAGTGACTCTGACTTTGCCAAAAAAATGTCAGGGTTAGACCAGAAATAGACACATGCCAATACGCTGGCTATAAATAAGAAGAAAGAAAAAACCGGACTGGCGGTTCAAAATATATATTTTCAAATCAACTTAAAGCCTGGCCAAAATGAAATTCCAGCACTTTGAAACAAGGCTAATTTGAAACACAAAACCGTTTGTAACTTTAATCCATTTATTCAGTTGTTTGTTCATGCGTCTAAATTAAATGTATTAAATGGGGTTTGTTTCCTTCCTCTTTGCTATATTTTATTATTTTATTTTGGGATATTAGCTGATGATAGAGTTGCGGTTTGCCGACGCATGAAATACGGGGATAGAAAGGAAAAAAATAGAGAATTATGCAATTGCAAATGAGCAAAATACAATTTTCACATTGCACCGCGTTTTAATTTTGTTTTATAATTTCGCAAATAATAATTTACATAAGCGAATGTGTAAATGTGTGTGAGCGTTTGTGGCATATGAAAAGTGTTTGTTTGAGTGCGTTTTCCATTAATTTATTTATATATAATTATTTACAAGCAATTAACTTTGGGCATAGCTTTTGTTTAGTTAGTTTTACCCATTCACAGTTCAGTTATGCATTTAGGTTTTAGTTAACGTTTGCACTGTGACCTTTGCTGTTCCCATAGAGGAAATGCCAAATGAAAATGAATAAATTTCCGTTTTTCCTTTGTATCCCTGTGGGAACGGTGTCAGTTGCATTTTCTGCACAACAGGGTTTCTTTATGCGAACCGTACTTTAATTAAATTCATCCTCCTTTTTTTTTTTGCTGTTCCTGTAAAAGACGAATGACCCCGTGCCCCAATTTAAGTAAGAAGATGGTTGTGATTTAATTTTTGTCAATATTTTTTAATGTTTTTGCATTTTATTTTCGCAGATATATTTTTCTGGCTGGTTTTATGTAATTGTAATAATTAATTTAATAATACATTTCGTCATTAAGTAAATTTAATTCAATTAATTTAGCTCCCTCATCTCTATACAGTACGATACATAAATACATTAAGTGCTCTAAATGTGGTGGCTCTTGCGATTGTTCTATATACAATTAGGTTTATTAAATATTCATTTAGTTATTGTTTCGTGTAGCTTAGGATGAATGAATCGACAAACACGATCAACTGGATGCGAACGAATGTGTGTATTTCTCTTTAGCATTACTTTTAGTTATAGTTAACAATAGTTTAGTTTAGTTTTAGGTTTACGTTCTTTACGCCTGGCTAGAACTACTATATAGGTCTACGCATTACAGTTAGAGGCATATTCGCATGTGCCGATTTAATTATAGTTAATTAGTATATCACATTGAATTTGAAAGTGTTTCTGCAACATTTCTAGTAATTGTTTGTTTTACGTTTATGTTAATTATTTTATAATAATAATATTATTCCTATATGCTCGTATATGAATGTGTGGGCGTGTCTTGTGCGTTCTTTTCTCCTTTTTCCATTTTTGTTTTTCTTTTTTGTTTTTTGGCAGTGCTACACAACTACGAAACGTCAACAACAACCACAACATCCAAAGGCGAATTGCTTGACGAAAAAAAATACGTATAAATATATTGTGGTTCGAGAAATGCCTACGAAGAAGTCTTTTTGTTTTGGATGTGAGTGTGTTTGTGTGTGTTGGTGTGCGTCCTGTTTTCTGCTTCCTCCACTCGACGAGTCCTTGTTCTCAGTTATTTTCTGCGCCAGTGAGCGATCAGCTTCAAGATGGCCGCTCCTGCGCCGCGAAACGCTGCGAGGTTGAAAGAGATGGCCATTCATTCGGTGAGGAGAGGAGAGGGGAGAGGTGGTTGAGCTTAAACCAGGAAAGCCTGGCCGTTCTTATTGGCCGCTTCGCTGCCACCAGCTGCCTGTTGCTGCTGCTGCTGCTGCTGGTGTTGCTGCTGTGCCGCTGCTGCGGAAGTGGAAGCCTGGGCTGTGGATTGGGTGCTGGTGCTGGCCTGGCTCAAACCACTGCCACTGCGCAGGTGCACCGGCGCCGAAGCCACCGGCATTGCCTGCTGCGGCATTGCCCGGAATTGCGGCTGCAACAGTCGTTGCTGCTGCTGCTGCTGTTGCTGCAGTCGCAACTGCTGCTGCTGCTGGTGGTGCATCAGACCCGTGGGAATCATGGAGAGCGCCTCGTGCTGGTCGTACGCACTGTACTCCGACTCGATGCTGTGGTAGATGTGCTCCGACGGCGGACGCATGGGCATCGGCATGGAGTCCACGATGCGGGCGGCGCCGCCGGGGCGCGTGGGGCGAGGCGAGGGCGTGGCCGTGGTGGCCGAGCTGTAGTTGGCCTCCATGTCCTCGGTGCAGTAGTAGGCCGGCGGTGGTGGCGCCTGCCGGAAGATCATGCCCGGCGACACCGGCTGCTTGAAGCGCTCGTGGTGATCCAGCGTGTAGTTGTTGCCCCGCGGCGACAGCTCGATGGGGATGGCGTAGCGCAGCTTCTCCCAGAAGTACCGGTCGCAGGTGAGCAGGCGGTTCGAGGGCACCGACTTCAGGTAGGGCGACAGCTCCGCCACATCCTCCGCCTCGGCGGAGACGCTCGTCTCCTCGATGATGACCAGCTTCTGGGCCAAGCCCCTCAGCGATTCGTGGAAGGCGTTGCGAAACTCGATCCGGTTCCATTCGGTGGCCAGGAGGTTGCGGGTCAGCACCAGGATGATCTTCCTCGAGGCGCGGGCTCCTTCAACCAGCTGCAAGTGGGAAGCCTGGGGGGGAAGATCCCTCTGCTGAATGCAGAGACGGAAGGGCGGACGACCGTGCTCCAATTCGGCGGCGATGTTGCGGCAGACGAACTCGTAGTCCTTCTCCGAATGGAGGATGATGGCGTCGTACAGCTTGCCGGCGTCCTCGAAGCGCGGTTCACAAACCCTGACTCCGTAGTGGGCAAAGAGCCACATGCGAACGCTTTCCCGGAAGACGAAGACAATGATGAGCACGACGACCAGGAAGATGAGCACCAGCACAGCTGCCAATAGGGGCAACCTATAGCCTCCAGCCAGATCCTGCGAGGAGCTGATGTTGCTGGCACTGGCATCGAGCAGCTCCGAGCAGTCGGGTCCGTTGGCCAGGTTGCCAATGAGCTCCAGCTCCCGCTTGATGCCCGCATCCAAGCAGTAGATGTCGTGGGAGTCCCGCACAACCATCGCATTATCGGAAACGAATTGAGCTAGTTCCCTCAGCTGCTGGCAGCGACATGACCAGGCATTCCTGCCCAGAGTCAATCCCTGAAGACTGTGGCGGTACTGCAGGTTGGGCAGGGAGCTCAGGCGGTTGTTGTCCAGTCGGAGAACCTCCAGGGAAACCAGAGGCTCAAAGGTGGCATTCGAGATGTGGCTCAGCATGTTGTTGTGCAGGTAGAGTTCCCTGAGAAGTCCCAGCGAGCGGAATTCGGTGCCCTCCAAGGCGGTAAGCTTGTTGTTCTCCAGATGGAGCACTCGCAGGTTGACCAGCTGAGCCAAGCTGCCATTCTGGAGGGTCATCAGGTTGGAGGCATTCAAGTAGAGAGCGCGCAGGTTGCGACGACCCACCAAGTGGCCGACCTCCAACTCCTGCATGTTGTTGCCATCCAAGTAGAGATCGCTGACGTCCATGGGAATGCGGTTGGGCAGGGAGGCCAGGTCCTGGCGGCCACAGTCCACGATGTTGGTGGCCCAGGTGGCGTCGTGGAAGCAGCTGCAGTTGCCGGGGCAGATCACCTCGCACTCGCACTGCTCGTACTCGCAGCAGTGGCAAGTTGGCGGGCAGTGGCTCTCGTACTTGCAAACGAAGTCCGAGGCGGACAAGGTGGCCAGCGGACGCAGAGGAGCACTGCGACTGTGTGGCATCAAGCACTCGATGTTGGCCAGGTCCACAACGTGCGGATGCTGGCGGGTGGTCAGGTTGTTGATGCGCTGCAGCCACTCCATCGAGCAGTCGCACTCGAAGGGATTGCCGCCCAGGTAGAACTCGGGAACTGGTTTCTCCACGGAAACGGGAGCCACACGCAGGGCATTCAGCGAGATCTTGGACAGCACATTGGCGTAGAGATCCACGCGGGCCAGCCGGGTCTTGTCCACGAAGGTGTTGGCCTGGATCTGGCCGATGATGTTGTTGTTGATGAAGAGCAGCTCAATGGAGTTCGGCACCGACATGGCTCCGATCTCCGTGATGCGGTTGTGCGAGGCATCCAGTGTGGTCACTCGGATCTCCTCCTGCAGCTTGTAGTAGTTGCCCAGGGCCTCGATGTAGTTGCCATGGATGTCCAGCCACTTGAGGTTCGAGGGAATGAAGGCGTAGTCGAACCACACCAGGTGATTCTCGGAGAGATTCAGCCAGAGGAGAGAGGCCAGAGTGGCGAAGATTCCGTTGATGTCGGTGAGGAAGTTCTTGTCCAAGCGGATGGCCTCAATCTCGGTGTTCTTGTCGAAGGCGCCCCGCTCGATGCTCTGGATGCGGTTCTTGGCCAGATTGAGCACACTCAGTCGCGGCAGATCCTGGAACATGCCCACGGTGATGTTGCCAATCCGGTTGTCGATCAAGCGCAGACCCGTCAGCTGATTCAGATTGCGGAAGGTGTTGTTCTTGAAGTCCGAGATCTGGTTCTCGCCCAGATCCAGGGTCTTCAGCATGCTCAAATCCTGCACAGCCTCGGGCACTTCCGTCAGCTGGTTGGAGCTGAGATCCAGTTCCTTGAGGTCGGAACAGTTGCGGAAGGCCTGCGTCTCCACGATGCTCACGAGGTTGTTGTTCAGCGTGAGTTTGGTCAGCACGTAGAGTCCGTTGAAGATGCGGTTGTCCAGCGTGTGCAGGCGGTTCTCGGCGAGGTTGAGGGTGTGCAGGTTGTACAGCGGCAGGAAGGCGCCCTCCTCGATGTGGCCGATGGAGTTGTTGCGCATGTCCAGGATCTGCAGGAAGTACAGCTCCTTGAAGGTCTTGGCTCCGATGCGGGTGAGTGCGTTGTTCGAGAGGTTCAGCACAATCAGGCGGATGAGCCCGGCGAAGGTGCTGTTGTCCACGTGGTGGCTGGTCAGCTGGTTGCCACTCAGGTCGAGCACCAGCAGCTGTTCCAGGCGGTGCAGCAGACCCTTCGGCAGATCGTACAGATCGTTGCCCTGCAGGTGCAGTTCCCGCAGCTCCTTGTTACCGGCAAAGGCCTCCGAGGGCAGCGACTCCAGGTGGTTGTACGAGATGTTCAGCACTCGCAGGGAACTCAGGCCGGCCAGGGCATTGGGGGCCAGGCTGCTGATGTTGTTGTGCTGCAGGCTGAGGGTCTGGAGGCGCCTCAAGCGGGACGCTCCCCAGGCGTCCGGCAGCGAACGGAGCTCGTTGAAGGAGACATCCAGGGCCTGGAGCTCCGAACCTCCGCTCACCGCTCCATTGGCATTGCTCAGGGCCGAACCGGCGCAGAGCTTCTCGGAGAAGCCAAGGAACTCGGCCGACCGGATCCGATTCTGGGTGAGATTGAGCAGCTGCAGGCTGGGCATGGAGCACCAGACGCCCTCGGGCAGCTGGCGAATGTTGTTGTCGGCCAAATGGAGCTCGGACAACTCCTTCAATCCCTGGAAGGATTGGCCATGGAGTTCTAACGTTTTTCCTGGACCCCAGACCGAATTGTGGGACTCCAGGGAGAGACGCTTGAGCGACATGAGGCCGTCGAAGGCGTTCGGTGGCACTCGCTGCAGCTTGCAAGAGTCGATCCGCAGCTCCGAGAGCTTCTGCAGCTGCCGGAAGAGTCCGGGCGCCAGTTCGCTGGCGTGCAACAGCTCCTGGCTGCACTGCACCTCCAGGCGGCCGGCCGCCTCCGCCACTTGGAGATCGAGCGGCGAGCCCGTCGACTCCAGAGCACGAACACTGCACCGGATGTCCATCGTAGTGAGGCCGTACTGCCAGTTGCACTGCTGCGCATGCGCAAGAGCCACGAGAAGCAACAGGCAGGCGGCGAAATTTATGCTGATGGCTGGCATTTCGGTGATTTGCTAGTTGGCTTACTTAACTTGAATTTGTGTTATTTGTTAATTTTATTTGTAGCCTTTGCGGCTATGTGGGTGGTTGTGGGTGGTGGTTGAGTGTGGTGCACAACTCGGTCACTTTCTGGTTTTCATTTTTCGATCGCTTTTTCCGCAGCCCGATTGCCCGTAATCCTTGAGTGAGCCGGCGTTTTGCGTTTTTGCGGTTAGCACTTAGCGATTTTTGCACTTTTACGTTTCTTTGCTTTTCGTGATTTTTCCAACTGTGTATAATTGGTAGTTGGTAGTTTGGTGATTGGATTTTTAAACTTGGCACTTGGCGCGACTGTGTGTTAGTGGCAACGACTTCGTTCGTTTCGGCGAGAGCTCGTTTTCTCAAAACATGTTGGCCGCCTCGCGATTCGATTGAAACTGACTGCTGGAGTTGGCCATCTCGACTCCGTTGGCTCGTTGAAAATGTGAAACCGACGACGTCGCTGCGTCGTGGCAGCGCTCGCACACACACACTCACTCGCAGTGTTGGCCGGCAGACAGACAACACACCGTAGGTGTGCATGTGCATGTGCATCCACTCTCGCGCTCGCCACACAAACACGTATGCAGCGCTGTTTGCTGCGCTGCTCTGCTCTCAGCCGCTCGCAAGTACACACACACACACGCCGACGCGCTGCATTTCCTGCCTGCATGTGTCACACACACACGCGAGAGCGGCTCTCTCTCTCCCGCTCTCGCCGAAAGTAGGGGAAATGTTGCACACACACATGATGCTTTGTTGACGTTAACCCATCGCCGCTCTCTCTCCGATTTCTGTCCGCACAATTAGCAAAGGGAAGTGGAATAATCAACAGAGTTCAGATGGGTTATCTGCTATCAGTGGATTATATAGGGAGCTATCTGAACTGACCCGGTGATTATTTGATTTGCAATAAGTGGGCTTTAGTTCGGAATTAGCTGAGAAACTCAATAAGCGATCAGATCAGCTTTAAATGAACTCCATTGTGTAAAGCCTTTTTAATTTTAAGAGGGAAATTAAGGAAATAATTAAGGCACTTCACAGTAATAAGGTGTGGTATTTAAAATAAAGTACCAGGAAACCCTGGGTTAATAAGTTCCAAATCTCTGAACTCACATAAATTTGTATGACCTATATTTTTTATAAGAAATTACCAAAGACAAGAAATTTTTCTACAAGATGGAAACATTTTATTGCCTCTACAGAAAATAATATAAATTATAAGTGTAAGTGATTTGACATTGTATGTACTTCGATTCTAACTACTGATATGTACGTATTTTCGATAAAAGAACAAATATTAAACTTTCTTTAGTAATGTATTTTTTTCTAGTTTTTGAAAATATATCCCACAAAGGGTTAAATAGAGCCTGCAACAGGCTGCTGCTGGCTGGCAACATTTCGCCCCCTTTCCGCCCCCATCGCCTTCGACGAAAATTCTCTGAGACAGTTCGTTTTGCTGCCTCGTGTTGCACCCGCGATGTGTGTTGCATATAGGATGTATATTATGGCATGTGGCCTCGGTTTCAGCATGTTGCATGCTGCCCGGCTCTTAACAGCTGCCGATGTTGCTGCTGTTGTTGCAGTTGCAATTTCTGTTGCGATTGCTGTTAGTGTCTTTGGTGCTTAGGTGCTTTTGGCCACTATTTCGATTTCTATTTCGCATGAAACTCCAGAGCGACCAACTAAGTGCGGTTCTCCGGAGTGTTTGGCAGTCGTAAAATGCCTAATCTATTGTCGTATGCTAAGTATATTTTAGCCATATTTGTTGTGAGTGCGCTGCTGTCAAACATTTCTTTGGGCTTCTTGGTGGGAGTTCGATTTTCGATGTTTTTGCATTCGGACATGGCGATGTGGTGAGGGTGGTCTAACGTAGAGTAAAAACGCCTTTAAGACCTGCCTCTTTGGCACTCAGAATTGAAAACTCCATTACGGGTTGTTTGCATTTTTTTACTCCGCTGCCGTTTCAAGTGCTGAAACTATTTCCCTCAGCACAAAAAAGCCACACATATTTGGCACTTTGAGTGGTTCATGGAAACTTGTTGGTGCTCTTTATTACCACTGCCAGCTTCATCATAATTTTCAGGTTTATTTACTCGCAGCTACTGCTACTGCACCCCATTTCGCGATGACTGCCTTTGCTGCTGCATTTTCTGTTTCTGCTGTTGCTGCTGCATGGCTCTTAGACCATAAATATCGCATATGAGTGTTGCATGCACGCCAGCAGCAGCAGCAGCGGCAGCAGCAACAGTGGCAATATTACAGTTTGAATGCCACTATTATGCCAAGTTGCAACTGCAACAGTGGCAAATGGGTTTTATTTTCCTTCTTGTGGAAGTCGGCCGTAAACCCGCGGAGCAAATGCCCAATGCGGAATTGTTTAGTGTCATTTGGGTTCGCCGTTCTAATTTCGCCGGTCTCTATCACCTGCTCGGCTTGCTTTTTCGGCTGTCGACTTATGCCACTTAAAATTACATTAAAAAACTTTCCGCCAAGAGCAACAACTCCGCTGACGCCCGCTTTCCCGCCCCAAAAACAAAAATAAAAAACTCGAATCGGGGAAACTTTGCCCGGCTTTTGCACTCCCGATGTTGCTGCCGTTCCAGTTGCTGTTGCTGTTGTTGCTGTTGCTGCTGCTCCTGTTGCTGCTGCGTTTTTGTCCCGTTTTGTTTTTGCGGCACTGCAAATATGAAACTTTTGTTACTTAATTATTTTGTTTGTTGTTCTTGTTAATGTTGCTGCTGCTGCTGTTGGTATATTGTTATTAATTAATTGAGTTACACTTGCCGAGCTCCGACTTGCCACTTCCCCTCGCTGCTGTTGACGTCGGGCTGCTTCTGGGTTCTTACTACTGTTTGCCTAGTGGTGCGAATATTTTATGAATTTTTAAATTTCATTAACTCGACATGTGCCGGAAACTTTGTGGCAGACTCTGTCAAATGTGTGTCGCCGACCCTTTTCGTGTCTTGCGAAAGACTCTGGACGACATAACTATAGTTCTACGGAAGCAATTGATAAGAAAAGGTTTTCTGGAGTTCAAAAATGGATTAAAGGTCAGTATGTAATTTAATTTGTAAATTATTTGTTGGCAACCCCAAAGAGTAGTTAAGATTCCCCGGACTTTACGGGCATTTCGTGGACCTGCCTGGCCAAAAGTGTCTTGCGGAGAAGGCCCCCATAAAAGTGGCCTAATGTCTGCTTGTTGCAGCGGTGGCAGCCACAACAGAACGCAAAGCGAGGAGCACAGCTTAAATATTATTCATACGGCGCGTTGGCCACGGCCGAAATGCAAAGGCTAAAATCCTCATTGCAGCTTTCATTTCGCCTCGCATAACTATGTCAAATTAGTGTCTGGCTGGCCGGAGGAGCTGCGATGCTCCAACTTTCCCAGCGGCCTATTCAGAAACTTTCCCGCTCCGCTCCTTGGGAAATCGTATTCAAATGCCGGCCGAAACAGCCAAGCAACTGGAGAAACAAAAACCATTTTAATTGAATTAGAAAATGGCAATGGGTCAGAAGCACGTTTGTAATGCATAATTTATGTTTGCGCACTGAGTTTGTTTTCTGATTTCAGTTATTTTCCATTTTGCTGCGCTGCTGCTGTTGCTGCTGTTGCGAATCCAGAAATCCGAAATCAAAAATCCGAATGCGGCGAACGTTTTGCCCGATTTTTTGAGGCCAAAATTTTCATAATCTTTTGGCGCAATAGAAAATTGCCATGGCAGTAGCCACTGCAACTGCAACTGCCACTCCAACTGCAGTTATGAATATCATTGCGGGCCTCTTTAATGAATGAATCGGTGGCCCAAGAAGGCCATCAATGGATGTGTGGAAAATGTGGGGAAAACTATCCGGCTGAGTGGAAAGTGCGTGTGACAGCAATGGATGCTGCAGCTCCTCCTCGACGGAGTCATCCTGCTGGCAGCTGTCAGGCGCACTTGCATTACATTATTGCCGCCTCCACACGGATTAAACTCCCCAACAAACTTAACTTTTCAGAAGGAACTAACTTTTACGGAAGCATTTGTAACATTAAAGTTTTCATGTCATACTATATACTTTATTGGAATATTTTTCATTTTTTCAGCCCTTTTATTTATTAAAAATATTCCTAGAATGTCTCCCCATTCTGATTAATTTATTTTAGGCAAACATAGATTTTTATCTGCAACCGCATATCTTCAATCCCCATCAGTTATTATCTTATTCATTTGGCTGTCCGCTCGGAATTCGTGTATCTTGAAATTCTTGTTCGATAGTGTGATTTGCTATTGCTGCCATTGTTGCTGTTGTTGTTGTTGTTTTTGTGTCTCGAACTCAGGACTCATTTGATATGCGGGCTCAGTAATGCGCCCACACGTCGATGCTGAAACAATGCCAGGCATTTTTATATGCCAGGCGATATTTTATAAAATACGTACATATTTATAAACCCATCGGTGGCGGAGTATGTTGTGAGTAACGAGCGAGCGAGGAGCCGACGACCGCTCAAGTGCATCTTAAAGATACTTTTGCTGCACTGCATTGTGCTAGCTTCTTGCTCGAGTGGATTGCCAGCATTTGAGGCTGTGCCAAAGCAAAGGCTGCCTATTGTGGCCCCAACCCTCCCCTTGTGTAGGGGTTGATATATGAGCTTTAATGTGCATTAACTCTGTGCCATATTTCTCTGTTCCTTCGCGGAGAATGGAGGGAATGGGGTTAATTACGCGTTTACGGCTCCGCGGCTATGGAGAATCTCGACCGCAACTATTTATTGGTCGGTTTGATTTATGTGCCCGGCCATGTGTCTCTTTCTCTAAGAGGCTGCCCCAAAATTATGGCCGTATTTTTGGCTACCTGAAAGCATTCCCCCCCTAAAGAGAAAAAAACAGACCGAAATGATTTGCATGCTCAGCCGTATTTATGTAATCGCCCACTTCCTAACTACTTATGAGTAATTTAAATATTTTTATAATTTTATAAACGAATGCCCAAAAAAACCAAGGCACAAAAACCCCTGAGTTGGCGGAAAAAGCCACAGAAAAAAAGCCTCGAAAAGTGAAAAATACCAATTCATGTTGCTCAGCCAAAATGCCACAGAGCACAACCCATAATCACGGCTAAACATAAAAAACCAGCCAGACAATTCTAATTGTCAGCCTCTCTCGACGTTTTGTGCTAAAGATTTAATTTCATTCCGTTTCGTTTTCGGGGTCGCAATTTTTCAGCATTTTGCTAATACCCACTTTAGCGGGCCTCCAAAAAAATAAAAAAAATAATAAGAAGAAAAACAGCGATCGAGAAAGAGCTGATTTCAAAGGGGTTCAACGATTTTTAAGCAAAACCCTTCATTAAACACACGAAGAGTCCAGCGACGATCTTCGACAACTCATGTTTATAAATTGGTCTATAATTTCGAAGTATTTGTCCAGCTTACG